GGTTGGGAGGGCGGCGCTTTATTATTTATTACGGTGAAACGAGAGAATCGGCGATACAGTGTATTGACCGTCGGAGTACCGAAGTGTTGTTTTCGGTATAAATTTAAAAAAAAAAAAAAAAATATAAACGGTATACGCCTGAAACGAACCCCGTTCACCGTGTCACCTGCGCGCCGGCCGTTTCGGCAGTTTTCCAAAGCCGGCCGGTTTTCCTTCTCCGGGCGAAACCACGCGAACGGCGTTTTCCGCGCGACGAATGTCCGCGACGACACGACGGCGACGACGCGATTCTCCCGCGCTTGCGGGCTCCGATCGCGAATACGAACGGAACGAACGGCGGAGTCCGCACGCCCCGCGTTATTACGCCGAGTACGCCGTACGACGACAATACAGTCCGGGCGAACCGGACGCGTGAAATATGTACACGATATATTTTATACGCACTTGCGCACAACGATATTGTGTTTGTGTGTGATTTTTATTTTTTTTCTTCTACAATATAATTGCAAATTGTAAAAAAGTATAAATGATTGATGAACGCGCGTACACGGTGTATTGTAATGTATCGACGCACCGTCGAAATAATAAAGCGAACGCACCTGACGCCGCGTTATTTTAGCGCGTCGATAGTAGACCGAAAAACCAAAAAAAAAAAACTATATACATATATATACCGGCATTATAAAAACATTATAAAAAATTGTTATTGTACAACGTACAATTTATTTGCGTACGCGTTTTTCCGTACCGCACGTTGTACCGCTGTGGCAACCTCCGCGTTATGGTTTTACGCTGATGTGGCCGTCCGTCAATGATCCGTGCGCATCGGTTTCCACGTGAAGAATCGCTCAGATATTTACGCGTAACACAATGCCGAATTGTTGACGAACCGTCAACTATCCGACCGAACTCCGTTCGGAATCTTTTTGTTTTTCTTTGGCAAGCAACGGTTTACCGCGGGGCAGCCATTTTTTTTTTTTTTTTTTTTTTCAGCACACCCGGAGCGTTTGTCGCGGACACCGTCGCCGCCGCCGCCGCCGCCGCCGGTATTACAATGTATGTTTCGGAATTATCATAATTACGATAATGTTTACGGACGGTCCGCGCCGTAATCCCCGGGCTTTGCGCCGCGCGCGGTTTCGTCCGTTCGAACGGCTAAAGTCGGACGGCGGCGCACCGACAGGAGTCGAATTGCCCGCGACCGCCCACCCCCGACCTGTTTTGCCGTCGCAACGCACGGTGTTTCGCTAGCGTTGTTTTCGATCCCGGAATAAGAAGTGTACGGTTGTTTTACCGCGGGATGTTTAGTGGTTTTTTTTTTTATCCACCCATAATGGAACACCGGCTGTACTCTAGGGATGGTAATTTTGATTTTCCCAGTCGTTTTCGCAATAAACGCACGGGATCCGCGTCCCCCGATTCCCCCGGCACGTTTCTCGATCGCGATGATTCGCGCAAGCGGCGAAATCGAATCGCCGGCTCCGTTCACGATGTCGCGTCCTCCGGCGACCCGGGGGAAATTCGACGAAAAAAACGGAATCGTCGCGTTTATAACGATAACGATACTGTAACTGTCGCGGACGATAACGGTGTCGCCGGGCAACCGAGATGTTTTTCGGGCGTTTTACACGCGGATCGGATTTTTCCCGCACGGTGTCCGCGCCGATAAACACTTCCGTAAGTTCCGTCTCGGTGCGACGACGCTCGTTACCGACGGGGCGGCCGCCGTACACGTGCGCGATATAACCCAGTCGGATAACGATAATAACTCCGAGATAACGTCGTATACTCGTAAAACGATAACGATACACACGTATGTATTTACCGTTGGTAAATTTCGTCCGCGGATTTCGCACGATTATCAACATAGTATTGCGCACGGATCCGATTCGTTTTTCGACTGCCGTGATTTGTCGTGCCCGCGAGTTCCCGGCGAAACCGTTTCGGCGGAGAAACGCGACCGGCCAGGGAGACGGTCGGTCGGCGGCCGGGGAGGGGTGTTCGGTGGGGGGGGGNGGGGGTTGTTGGGGAGGTTCGGGGTCGGGGCCCGCGCGCATTTACGGCCGAACACGCGGCGCGGCACGGAGTGCTCCGCGGAACGAGAAACGTTCCGGGGTCCTCCGTTTTCGGGGTCGTTTCCGGAACGCGTTCCGTCCGGTCTAATCGCACGCACAGTCGCAGTAATACAATCGCACCGGTCGATGCGCCGCACGTTCTTAACGTTTATAACGGCGGTTTACGAAGCGTTCGCCGGTCAAAAGTCCCGGACGTTCCGGACACGGAGCGGAGCGCAGAGACTCGCAAGTTTTACAAAGATGTTTGCGTATACAAACATATTTTTATATATATACATATACTTTTTTATTTCCGCGTGCGACTTTTCCGCCGCGAATACTTGTCCGCGTTTTCAAGCGTGGCGCCTTTTCTGCGCGGAAATCTGTGTGTGGGTGTCGTTTTTTCGATTTTCAAATGATCAACGATAGTGGCCGCACCCCCGTCCCCGTTATCCTACAACGTCTTTTTTTTTTTGTTATTATTATTAAATTTTCGTCAAAAATATTTAAAAAAAAAAAAAATACAATAAAACCCTTATTGCGCCCTTAATTCTGTGCGTTCGCGCAAACAGGGGGTGACGGGCCTTCGGAGTATTTTTGACCGTATCCCCGAACACTCGACCGAGCCTCCTAAAACTAAGTCCCCGTCCGGTAAACACCGAGTCTGGGTACCCGCCGGACCGCGGTATTGATAAATATCGCGGGCTCTCAGACCGCCTCCGAAAATGTTTGCATTCCACACGGGCCGCTCGACACTTTCCGGTGCGACGCGAGACGTAGCGTCTCGTAGGAATACTCGCGTTGTCCGAGACACACTGCCCGACCGCGGTTGGTTGGTCTCTGTACCCGCGTCAAATCGACGCCGTACAAGCCGACACTGGGGCGCGCTTTATCTGCGGTCCGTTCGAGCTCCGTTTTTTCTCGCCCGAGGATTCTTTTGCGTCGCTCTTCCGGGTAAAACGGGAAAAAAAAACCCCACAGGTGTCCGTTTGTCCGTCCGCCCTGCCTTGAAAACCACAACGCCCCGGTTCAAATTGAACGTCCTTCGCGGCACGTCGCGCCCGCGCCCCGTCGGCACGCCGCTGGCGCGGTATTTTCGCCGGATCGCCACGTTCCTATTATATTATCGTTGTTCAATTGTTCACACTATTGTCTAGCGAAACAGCGAAGCGCGTACCCGGTTTGTTTTTGATTTCTGCGATTTTGAAAAAAACAAAACTTCCGCACGATACGTGCCTGTGGGGGGGGGGAAGGGCCGCGGCTGTCAAAACGCGGTCAGTGAGGGAGGGTTTCACATCGAATCGTGCCGGGTAAAATTAAAACGTCTTACGAGAGACGAAACATCTATACGAATTATACGTAATTATACGAAATATGATTTCAAATATCGGAACTCTTAAAAAAACGACGCACTGTTCGTTCGGCGGTTCCTTTCGGTCCGCCGAACGGTCCGTCCGGAATCCAATAGCGTTCCGAACAAGTCGATCCGGTTGTGTGCCCGGGGAAACCGAGGCGGCCGCGAATCCGGCGGGCGGCCGGGAGAGCGGGGTCGAGGGGCGGAATTCCGTCCGGGTCTCACGGTCGGACGGCGGCGCGCGGTAAACAATACGATACGGTCGGCGGCGGGCGTTCCGGAGCCGCGGGAAAACCGGCCGCGGGGCGACGAGCGGCGGCCGGGGCGAACGCGTCCGAAACGCAATTAAACCGAACGGGCCGGCGAGTGCTTAAATCGTCGTCGGGCGATACACTCATTATTTGCCGGGCGACGACGTTAGATTTATAACCGCGAGACCCCGGCCGCGCGTAAACGTTCCGGCGTCCGTTTCGGCACCCGTCGCGGGCCCGCGGCGTGAAGACGACGTTCGCGGCGGGTCCGCGGGCGTGCACGACCAGGAAATAACGTCGTCCGGCCGAAGGCGTTGCGCGCGCGTCCAGGACTAACGCCCGGGCGATTCGGACGCCCGGACGCGTCGGCGTAACGTCGAAACACACACCGCGCGGGCTTTCTTGACCGACCGGGCCTCGCGAGAATACCGTGTCGCAGTTTCCGGACGGTTGGAACGCCGACGCGTTTACGAGACGCCCGGACGGCGTACGTCGGCGCGGCACTCGCGCACTGCGCGTTCACGGACTGAAGGTCCGGGTTCTCACTCCTCCGCCTCCACCCAACCCACTCACCACCCCTTTAAACCGCTCGACGCGGTAACGCGTGCGGGGAAAATAAAACCGAGGGTCGTTTCCGATTGAGTTTCGACCGGGAGAAAGGAAAGCCGCCGCGAAAGCGTTTTCTTTTGGCCGCCTAGTAGGACCGGACGAGTCCGCGTCGCCGGCCGTGTGTTTCCCGAACGGAAAAGCCGTGCGCACCTCGCGCCGCACAGTCCTGTAGAACGGCGACGTGCGCAGGGGCCCGGGGTCATGTCGTTCCCGCGTCGGCACGCAAAAACGAAACGGACACGACTTTCACTTTAGGATCCGGCTTTTAGAATTGCCACGGTTGAGTCCGCTGTACGGCCGGCCCGCCATCCCGTCGGGAATTCCCGGGGCACGCCGGCTACGACCGATCACGGCCGCGGGATCGGCTCCCGGTGCCGAAACGGATCCCGGAACGTCGACACTCGACCGCCGCGTCGCCAGACTCGACCGGTCCATCGTCGTCCATCTATCATTGTCCGAGTTCCGGGGCTGACCCGCGGCGACGGCGATTACGATCCGCCGCCGTCGTAATTTCCCCCGGTCCTCGGCGACGGCGGTCGATCGATCGCGGAAACGTGCGCAGCGGTGTCGCCGTCGTCGCGGTCGACCGACGACGGCGAGCTTTCGACACCGCCGAATAATCGTTTTATTGTTATATTTCTCGCCATCGCCACGCCGCCGCCGTTCGCTTTAACGGTCGGTAAACACTACGGGGAAAATGCCGGAGAACGGCCGCTTCGTATGGAAAAAGATACAGGGGGCGTGAACGCGGGCAGAGTACCGAACCTCACCGCGTCTTCCCGGGACGTAATAAAGCAGAAGCAGTAAATGTAACAGTCACGAGTTTTCCCGGAATGTTTTCTGGGAGTTTCCTCCCCGTACTACGAAGAAAACCAAAACGTAACTTCGTTGTCGCACCGACGGGACGACAATTTTCACAAAGAACCGTCGCCTCTAAAGTTGACAATCGGAACAAGATCTCTGGTAGAAAAGTCGTTCACCGCGTACGGAAAAAGAACAAACACATCGGTTATCGTTTAGCGCTCGTTACGAATGGACGTTAACCGTTTACACTAACTGTCGTTTTCTTATCCGACGAAAAAAAAAAAAAATAATAATGGATACGATCGTGTCTTCTCGAGTCGCGAGTTTTGCGCGACGAACAAGCCGGTTTCGCGACGTATCGAAAGTCTTCCCGTTTCTCCGACACATAAATCGGCTGTGCGACTATTTCGAATGGAAATATTATTGCGGCCGCGCAGTCGGTGTTTGTTACTAATGGAAACGCGATACCACGGCACGGACAGCGCAAGTAAATATCATGTAAACTCAGCGTTACCGAAAATGCGAAAATGCGAAAAAAAAAAAACCCCGTTGACAACGGCGGCAGGGGTAGGCGATCCGCGGTCAGAAACCGTCTAGACACCGTCCGGAAGAATTTTCTCGACAGTTTTCGTCCGTTCGAGTACGGCGCGGTGACGGTCGTTTAAACGGAACGAACGGCCGCGGCGCGCGATCCCCGCGAAGACCCGCCACGGAAACGTGCGGGGCTGGAACCGCGCGAGCTGCGCGATTACAGCGCGATGAGCTGCCGCGGGACGGGGTCGGCGACGCGGGACGAACGGCCGACGAACGGTTTCCAGCCGCGGAGACGGCCGGGCCCGGGCGCCGCGATATTCCGCGTGTACGCCGGCGGGGACGACGACGACGACGACGGCGGTAGGGAGGGGGGGGAGAGCGACGGGGAATATCGCGGCTGGCGCGGTCGCGGTCGCGCCGCCGTTCCGGACCGAACGGTTTAACGCAATTACACAACCCGGGCGGCGGCGGGCCGACCTATCGATGCGCAAAGGATTATGCAAGTAATAACACTGCACGGTAATACGCCGGCGAGCGGCGCGGCGCGGTACCGGATAAGCGCACGTCGGATTAATTTCGCGCGCCCCGTATACCTGCGTTATTGTTATAAGCCGGCGTAACGCTCCGCCGGCGTACGCGCTGCGGCGGCGGCGGTTTTCGTTTGAACCCCCGAAACGGCGGAAACCGCGGCGCGCGGCTCCGGCCCCGGGGGCTCGGCGGTCTGGCCGGGGTGTGTGTGTGTGCGCGCATGTGTGTGTGGGGGGTGGGGGGGTGATTCGTGAGCCGAGTCGCGTTTTCCCGGAAAACTTGGCTTAGCGCTTAGCGGTCGTACGCCGCCACGTCCGAGACTCGCGGGCGCGTGCCCGCAATGACCGATAGTGTGCGTAATAATAATAACAACGGTAATATATGTGCGGGGCACTTATCGCGCTTAATCCGATTGAAATACGTCGGAAAAACAACAAAAAAAAAAAAAAAAAACTCTGAAAAAAAAAAATAACACTTGAAAAACGGTTGAAAACGGTAGAAGGGTTTAAGCGTTCCCCGTCGCACGGCGGTTTTAACTTCTCAAACCGAATTTTCTAACGCCGCGCAATTAATTATCAACGCAAAGTTTTTTTTTTTTTTTTTTTTTTTTTTTTTTATAATACGTACAATTTTATTCAAACAAAAAAAACAACTTTTTGTTTGGTTAAACAATACGAGCCCGGGGGCGGGGCCCGCCCGTAACATCATCGAGAAAAATTGCGGGTTTTTTCTAGGAACGTTCCTCAAACGGGGAGAGTTCGGGGAAATCATATTTCATAAACATTATTTAACTTTCTGACTACACGTCGTAGTGACACGACGCTTCAAAACAGCAAAAAACTCGAAACTTAATTTCTTTACCCTTATCGAATTCATACCCGAATACCAAATATTTCCTGACTGTGTAATTATTTTACTATAACATGGCGTATATATATTTATTGTTGACAAAGCGTATATCACTATCGACCGAACTCCGCTCAGAATCGTTTTTCTCGCGAGCAACGGTCTACCGATCGTTGGTCGCGGGTATAAACGAAATTGCCTGAAACGGCGGCTGCGCTCGTCCCCACGATCGTATAACGTTGTTTTGTGTTTTTTTTTTTTTTTTTCTCTTCCGACCCGAGTGCGGTTCGACCGTTCAATCTATGTAAAATAGTGTGCGATACACGACCGGCGACGGTTCCGGGCACGTGACGATGTGTACGCGGGGACCGCGGCCGAAATCCCTTTTCCTCCTCGCCCACACCCACACCCACCCCTCCCCCCAAAAAAAAAAACCGCCTCCCGAGAACGGGCGAAAGGGCCGCGGAACAAAACCCGCGGGTTTGGTCGGACCGCGGTACGCGCGTAGCTGCGGAACGCTCGTGAGGAGAAAGAAAAAAATAAAAAAGTAAAAAGAATAACATAACAATAATAATAATATTAAAAAAAAAAAAAATACCCCGACGGGACTCTCAAACCGTCGGCCCGCGCTCGCCCGTCCCGTAATTCGATAATCGACCGCCGTCGTTCCCCCCGTAATAACAATAAATATCCATCCGCGGCGGCGTCGTGTTTACTCCGTGTTGCAACATTGATGGGGTCCGAGAAGAAAACCCGTGTACGTGTACGCGTACAATAATAACAATGATGATAACAAACACGTCGGACGACCGCAGCGGTGTGCACGCGCGCGCGCGCGCGTTCGGCGACCGGGCGTGTAACGCGTGCACGTTCGAGAGCGGCTTCAATTTCGGGGAGAGAGAAAAACGATATAATTTAATCATCCGTCCACGTAACGTAAAATGTGTGTACACGTACACTCGATATAACGTCAAAAGTTTCGCCTCTCGGTTTCCGTCCTCGGGCCGTTTTCGGCGCGGGGCGCCCGCGCATGTTTTACCGGCGCCGTTCGAACGCACGCTGGGGATTTTTCCCGCGCTCGTTATAACGTTGTCCGGACGCCGTCGTCGCGCGCGTCCCCGACACAATAATAATATCGAAATCGGCGCGACGCGGGGGGGAAGAAGTAGAAAATTACGACCGGCCGTAAGAATATTTTCGATTTCACGGGAGCCCCCAGTTCTGCCGTTACACGGCGGCATGCCTAACGGAAACGTTCGAAAACGCTGAACCGTGGCCACGGTGGTGCCGGTGGCGCTAACGTCTCCGACGTTTCGCGGTCTCCGCACACCGTCGGCCCGTGACGTGACGGTTTTGTCGACAGTTCTCGACGCTGGGTCGGATGATCGCGTGGCTCGCTTGTTGCGTTTACAGTGACGATTTTTCGTCGGAGTATTTATTGTCGTGTTTACGGGATTTTCGAAAACCAAAATAACTAGATAATCAGAAAAGAGATCGAATAGCAGAAATAAAAAAACCCTCGATGAAATCCACGAATGAGCTAAAACAACGGAGACAGTACAAATCTAGGGGAAACCGTTGGAAAAGGGTTGGATCGGGAAACTTCAAGTTGGTATCGGCAACAGACGAATAGAAATAGAAAGTGTGAAGTTTAGGCCGCGAAAGAAGAAGATTAAAATATCTTGCGATGTTGCTGTATTCGAACAATGTGAAAATGTAAAAAACCCAGGAAAAAAACACGGGACAACCGGAAAAAACGAAAAATTCGGTACATAATTGTTAAAAATAGTATTTAATGCCTATTAAATTATTTTACCATAACATGGCATATATATCATTGACAAGTCATCACTATTAACTGAATATTAATCCGCTCAGAATCGTTTTTTTTTTTTTTTTTTGTTAGCAATGGTCAATCGTTTCTTACAGGTATACATTAAATAACCCTACAGCAGTGGCTGCACCCGTCCCCATTATCCTAGGGCGTATTTTCTTTCTTTTTTTTCCGGAGAAAATAAATACCCAATGTCAGAGGCCGACGAAAGAGACGAAAAAAAATAATACACAGCCGACTCCGTAAACAATCCGTCAGTCAAGGTCTAACAATGTCTAACCCTTATTTTCAAACATTTTTTTTTCTCGCTTGAACACCATCAATAATGCGGTACATACCGTGGACATTTTTAAAATGTTATCAAATAGTTGTCCGGACGGGTTCGTTTCAAAAAATACGCTTGAGATTTTGATTGGAGTCGTTGGACGGTGCGTTATACGGTTTTGCCAATTTACAGATTATCGGTTTCGCGGAAAACGCATTTTCGGTCTGTGAAATTGTTCCGGTTTGTTCGCGCCGCACGTCAAAAGACCCGCGGGTCCGTTTGCCGGACGTCGGTGGTACTTTGTTTTAAAACAACGTCCCCCGTCAGAGTTTGTAAAAACCGACAAACAATCGTCGATCCCCGGGTAACATTATCAGCCCCCTGCACGCGCGACTACTGTTATAACAACTACACTACTCCGTTCAGAATCGTTCGCCCGTTCGCGACGGACCGTCGTGACTTTCGGCGTGTACCCACGTTAAACGGCCCGACGTCCTATCCATGAACCTTTCAAAACTTCCCCGACAACTACGACCGACCCGCCGGCGTTTTCAAACTATACGGTAATCATATGGGCGAGCGACGGGTGCAAAACGGCGTCGCCACGGTCGGTCTGAGAATCGA